AGGCTTCACATATTGTACCTGTGTGGGGTCCAGACTTCACATTTTGTACCTGTGTGGGGTCCAGGCTTCACATTTTGTACCTGTGTGGGGTCCAGGCTTCACATATTGTACCTGTGTGGGGTCCAGGCTTCACATATTGCACTGGGGTCCAGGCTTCACATATTGTACCTGTGTGGGGTCCAGGCTTCACATATTGTACCTGTATGGGGTCCAGGCTTCACATATTGCACTGGGGTCCAGGCTTCACATATTGTACCTGTGTGGGGTCCAGGCTTCACATTTTGTACCTGTGTGGGGTCCAGGCTTCACATATTGTACCTGTGTGGGGTCCAGGCTTCACATATTGTACCTGTGTGGGGTCCAGGCTTCACATATTGCACTGGGGTCCAGGCTTCACATATTGTACCTGTGTGGGGTCCAGGCTTCACATATTGTACCTGTGTGGGGTCCAGGCTTCACATATTGTACCTGTGTGGGGTCCAGGCTTCACATGTTGTACCTGTGTGGGGTCCATGTTTCACATATTGTACCTGTGTGGGGTCCAGGCTTCACATATTGTACCTGTGTGGGGTCCATGTTTCACATATTGTACCTGTGTGGGGTCCAGGCTTCACATATTGTACCTGTGTGGGGTCCATGTTTCACATATTGTACCTGTGTGGGGTCCAGGCTTCACATATTGTACCTGTGTGGGGTCCAGGCTTCACATATTGTACCTGTGTGGGGTCCAGGCTTCACATATTGTACCTGTGTGGGGTCCAGGCTTCACATATTGTACCTGTGTGGGGTCCATGTTTCACATATTGTACCTGTGTGGGGTCCAGGCTTCACATTTTGTACCTGTGTGGGGTCCAGGCTTCACATATTGTACCTGTGTGGGGTCCAGGCTTCACATATTGTACCTGTGTGGGGTCCAGGCTTCACATATTGTACCTGTGTGGGGTCCATGTTTCACATATTGTACCTGTTTGGGGTCCAGGCTTCACATTTTGTACCTGTGTGGGGTCCAGGCTTCACATATTGTACCTGTGTGGGGTCCAGGCTTCACATTTTGTACCTGTGTGGGGTCCAGGCTTCACATATTGTACCGGGGTCCAGGCTTCACATATTGTACTGGGGTCCAGGCTTCACATTTTGTACCTGTGTGGGGTCCAGGCTTCACATATTGTACCGGGGTCCAGGCTTCACATATTGTACCTGTGTGGGGTCCAGGCTTCACATATTGTACCTGTGTGGGGTCCAGGCTTCACATATTGTACTGGGGTCCAGGCTTCACATTTTGTACCTGTGTGGGGTCCAGGCTTCACATTTTGTACCTGTGTGGGGTCCAGGTCCAAGGTCTGCCTATGACAGCAAGGCTAACAAATAGGACTGGTACGAGTCTCAATATACTACCTTGGTACCCAACCCCCTGTTACCTGATCCTACCCAGGTACCCACTGTAGGTCTCAAGTTGGGTACAAAATGTCCGATTGGGATTTGTTCGACTTGCTCCCTGGCAAAAAGTACTCAGATACACAATTAAACTATCTGGTCATGCATACACTGAACTTGACTGAAGCTTTGTCTTTACTCAAACATATAAATGTCAGAAGGAATGGTTGAATAGTCAGAAAAAAGCCAATATTAGTGAATTGTAGTGTAACCATAGAGTTCCACATAATTTTTGTCATTGAGCTGGGGTCCGGGTAGTCCTGTGGGTAGCGGGGTCCTACTCAGTACCCTCCTGACCCGAGTCCCTGGGTGACCCGTTTCAGCCCTACTAAGAAACATTCAATACGAAGTAAGAGACACACACTGTAAACCCTGCACACACAACACCAGCTGACAAAATAACTAACACAGTAAGAGACACACACTGTAAACCCTGCACACGCAACACCAGCTGACAAAATAACTAACACAGTAAGAGACACACACTGTAAACCCTGCACACACAACACCAGCTGACATAATAACTAACACAGTTAGAGACACACACTGTAAACCCTGCACACGCAACACCAGCTGACATAATAACTAACACAGTTGGAGACACACACTGTAAACCCTGCACACGCAACACTACCTGACATAATAACTAACACAGTAAGAGACACACACTGTAAACCCTACACACACAACACTAGCTGACATAATAACTAACACAGTAAGAGACACACACTGTAAACCCTGCACACACAACACCAGCTGACATAATAACTAACACAGTAAGAGACACACACTGTAAACCCTGCACACACAACACCAGCTGACAAAATAACTAACACAGTTAGAGACACACACTGTAGACCCTGCACACACAACACCAGGTGACAAAATAACTAACACAGTTAGAGACACACACTGTAAACCCTGCACACACAACACCAGCTGACAAAATAACTAACACAGTAAGAGACACACACTGTAAACCCTGCACATACAACACTAGCTGACAAAATAACTAACACAGTAAGAGACACACACTGTAAACCCTGCACACACAACACCAGCTGACATAATAACTAACACAGTTAGAGACACACACTGTAAACCCTGCACACACAACACGAGCTGACATAATAACTAAAAATATATATCTGTTAGACATAAACATTTCAGGCTGCCAGCATAAACCATGAAATTTATCTTTCAACTTTTTTCACCAAAATAATATTCTCATAAGAGCCCCCTATTTCTAATTTTGAGAGCGCCCTGGGCACTCATTACGTCGAATACGGTAACTAATGTTTCCTCATGTTTCAGCAGTAGTTCACTCAGTGTTTCCTATTTCAGCCTGCAATGAGTGTACTTCCAGCAGATGAACACTTTCGTTGTCTGCTCTATGCAAGCAAGATGGCGCCCACATCGCCATAGCAACCAGAAGAGGTCAGGAGGTACAGAGGCTGCACGTGATGCTGAGGTCGTCCACTAGGGCTGTAGATGCGGCTTCTAGACGTGACTAAACCATGGAGACTGTTGCGTAGCAGCATCTACCATCTTCCCAGAGCTAGGGACATTGTCAGATTGTTGTCAAAATATGTGCAATGCCTTGTAAGTCATTGTGTCATATTCTTTTTCCTCTTCAAATTTTCCTCATGGATTGGAGTATCATTTTCAAGCAACTGGTGTTCGGTGATCGCTTGGATCATGTCCTCCGGGACATAATGTTGTTAGAAATGTGATGTGAGAAAGGCGTGTGTCGGATGTGGAGTTCTGTCAGCTGACATTTAATGTACTGACATACACACGAGCCCTAGCAGGACAGCCATCAGCTAAGCTGCAATGTGTAGGGTAATCAGCAGTGTCAGAGACGGTTAGTCGGCCATGAATGGGCTAATATATTGTTTGACAATGCTGTGGAGGGATATCTCGCATATATCAGTTACATTATATATAGGATATAGATCACCATCCCATGATCTGTCCCTAGCTGGAGATGAAGCTGTTTTGTCATCTTCTCAGCTGGGAGAACTGGACTGGGCTCATCCTTCCTAGAAGCACTGGATTTATGCAGTACAAACTGTGTCAGCCATGAACATTACGTTACACCACTGGAATGAAACTTGTGCATGATTGAAACTTGATTTTCGATCTATTCTTCGTGTCAAATATCTAAAGCCTTTTAGTGTGTAGTGGTGATTAGCTTCTGAACTTTGCCTTTGTTTTCTAAGAGTTGCCTCAAATGATTAATCCACAAGGGGCAAGAACAAGATGGCCGCCAAATGTGATATTTACCTCTACTGCTGGAAGTGAGTGTTTATGGGTACATATCAACTAAATTGTGCAACGCAGATAACAGGAGAACCTTGGACGGTACAGCTGTGAAACAACATCGAGTTATTGTAACAGGGCCAAACCATTCAGGAGATGCATCACTGGAGACTTGGTATACGTTTTCCTGGTGTTTAATGCGACTTACCTCATTCACTGTACAGGATTGTGAAGAACTTATGGAAGAACCCTGTAGCCTCCAACAAAATGATATCAATATTATTCATGAAAAGTGGAATGAAATCAGCATTAATTAATATTGAATGATGTTCTTGCTTGAAATGTTTGCAGTGGATTGTCATCAATTATTCCCAACAAAAAAAGCTATGGCTTGACAAAATGTGGTAAACGCTGGATCAGGCCTATGATGAGACTAACGATATCTTGTGACAAATTGTTTACAAAACGGGTACCCCTACCTTTTGAGACTGGTATTGGAACTAAATCAGACGGTGTGACGTCTTCAGTTGTCAGGGATATTTCTAGATGTGGGCAATGATGGTCCAGTTGGCTGACTGGCCCCAGTTCAACGTGCTTGGAAGATCAATTGGAAGATTACCAATATCTTTCCAATAGAAAACCCATCCAGGAACAAAATCGGATTCAGCCTCATTTAGTTTTCAAAATCCAAGTAGGGTGAAAGTTCTGTACCAATTGGCAGCAATAATCTGGGTATTCTGCAGCCTTTGACGAATCAACTACCCTGTACCCATCTCAGGATTATCCCTAACAATTGTTTCTGTAAAAGTAACAAACTCAAAATGTTTCAGATAGGGAAGGGTGTCCCATACAGATGTAAGCTAATCATTCAATAAGGTCATCAGTGTCCTGTTCTACAGAGCGATCTTAATGCTAAGATGATCGTAACTCCCATACATTAGCATAGACTTACAGCCGTTGTAGCTCTAAGATAATTGTAACTCCCATACTTTAACATAGACCTACAGCCGTTGTAGCTCTAAGATGATTGTAACTCCCATACTTTAACATAGACTTACAGCCGTTGTAGCTCTACGATGATTGTAACTCCCATACTTTAACATAGACTTACAGCCGTTGTAGCTCTAAGATAATTGTAACTCCCATACTTTAACATAGACCTACAGCCGTTGTAGCTCTAAGATGATTGTAACTCCCATACTTTAACATAGACTTACAACCGTTGTAGCTCTAAGATGATTGTAACTCCCATACTTTAACATAGACCTACAAAAGTCACAGCTCTAAGATGATCGTAACTCCCATACTTTAACATAGACTTACAGCCGTTGTAGCTCTAAGATGATTGTAACTCCCATACTTTAACATAGACTTACAGCCGTTGTAGCTCTAAGATGATTGTAACTCCCATACTTTAACATAGACTTACAGCCGTTGTAGCTCTAAGATAATTGTAACTCCCATACTTTAACATAGACCTACAAAAGTCACAGCTCTAAGATGATCGGATCTCCCATACATTAGCATAGACTTACAGCCGTTGTAGCTCTAAGATGATCGGATCTCCCATACATTAGCATAGACTTACAGCCGTTGTAGCTCTAAGATGATTGTAACTCCCATACTTTAACTTAGACCTACAAAAGTCACAGCTCTAAGAAGTTCGGAACTCCAATACTCCATAGATTTAAGATAGTCACAGCTCTAAGGTGATCGGATCTCCAATACTCCATAGATTTAAGAAAGTCACAGCTCTAAGATGTTGGATCTCCAATACTCCATAGATTTAAGATAGTCACAGCTCTAAGGTGATCGGATCTCCAATACTCCATAGATTTAAGATAGTCACAGCTCTAAGGTGATCGGATCTCCAATACTCCATAGATTTAAGATAGTCACAGCTCTAAGGTGATCGGATCTCCAATACTCCATAGATTTATGACAGTCACAGCTCTAAGATGTTGGATCTCCAATACTCCATAGATTTATGACAGTCACAGCTCTAAGGTGATCGTAACTCCCATACTTTAACATAGACCTACAAAAGTCACAGCTCTAAGATGTTGGATCTCCAATACTCCATAGATTTAAGATAGTCACAGCTCTAAGGTGATCGGATCTCCAATACTCCATAGATTTATGACAGTCACAGCTCTAAGATGTTGGATCTCCAATACTCCATAGATTTATGACAGTCACAGCTCTAAGGTGATCGGATCTCCAATACTCCATAGATTTACGATAGTCACAGCTCTAAGATGTTGGATCTCCAATACTCCATAGATTTAAGATAGTCACAGCTCTAAGGTGATCGGATCTCCAATACTCCATACATTTAAGAAAGTCACAGCTCTAAGATGTTGGATCTCCAATACTCCATAGATTTAAGATAGTCACAGCTCTAAGATGTTGGATCTCCAATACTCCATAGATTTAAGATAGTCACAGCTCTAAGGTGATCGGATCTCCAATACTCCATAGATTTAAGATAGTCACAGCTCTAAGGTGATCGGATCTCCAATACTCCATAGATTTAAGATAGTCACAGCTCTAAGGTGATCGGATCTCCAATACTCCATAGATTTATGACAGTCACAGCTCTAAGATGTTGGATCTCCAATACTCCATAGATTTATGACAGTCACAGCTCTAAGGTGATCGGATCTCCAATACTCCATAGATTTACGATAGTCACAGCTCTAAGATGATCGGATCTCCAATACTCCATAGATTTATGACAGTCAAAGCTCTAAGATGATCGGATCTCCAATACTCCATAGATTTAAGATAGTCACAGCTCTAAGGTGATCGGATCTCCAATACTCCATAGATTTATGACAGTCACAGCTCTAAGATGTTGGATCTCCAATACTCCATAGATTTATGACAGTCACAGCTCTAAGGTGATCGGATCTCCAATACTCCATAGATTTACGATAGTCACAGCTCTAAGATGATCGGATCTCCAATACTCCATAGATTTATGACAGTCACAGCTCTAAGATGATCGGATCTCCAATACTCCATAGATTTAAGATAGTCACAGCTCTAAGGTGATCGGATCTCCAATACTCCATAGATTTACGATAGTCATAGCTCTTCAATGATCGTAACTCCGATACTTCAACATAGTCTTACGACAATTGAAACATTAAGATGTTCATAGCTCTCATACTTTAACATATACTTATGAAAATCGTAGCTCTGAGATGATTGTAACTCCCATACTTTAATATAGACTTACTACACTTATGGCTCTAAGATAATTAGAAATCCTAGACTTATGACAGTCATAGCTCTAAGATGATCGTAACTCCCATACTTTAACATAGACTTATGTACAACAGTCATAGCTTAAGATTGCTTTGTGGAACTGGGCGTAGGATAAGAGAATCTAGAAACTTGGCCATTCCACCCTGTGTTGTGCCCTCCAAAGACACTATGCATTACCGTTGCCGGGAGCACTTAGAATAGCAGCACCAGTCCATGTAGAGGGCTGTTTCTTTACAGGGACCATGGTGGACCACTTTCCATTTAAAGGGGCTCTTTGAGCAAGTTATTTTAAGTATCCCGATCTTTTCTTAAATCAGTCTAAGTTACAAGAGAGTTGCTATTGGAATTTGGGTTTTGCTTATGTATGCCAATGAAAAAGGTTTGCCAACAAAGTAATTCAGGGCCCAACATGTGCTCAGTGTTGACGAGCACCAACATGTATGCCAATACAAAAGGTTTGCCAACAAAGAAATTCAGTGCCCAACATGTGCTCACTGTTGACGAGCACCAACATGTATGCCAATACAAAAGGTTTGCCAACAAAGTAATTCAGGGCCCAACATGTGCTCACTGTTGACGAGCACCAACATGTTTGTGAATACAGAAGGGTTTTTTCTCTTGCCATTAAGTTGTTCCCCAACTTGGGAAAAATAAATGCCAATACTATACTCTCCCAGCCAAAACAAACGTGAACTACAGAGAAGTATCTACATAATGAAGAGATGTTTCCCATGTGTACAACTTAATGGCAAAACTTACGATCAGTCAAGTGTTACCACAGAGTGACTTTATTCTTGTCTCGATATGCTGCACATGATTTCCAAACTTTACACGCTAATTCTGCACGAGACAAATGGTGCATCTCGAGTCATTGATCTATGACGTCACATGTGATACGTTCAGAAGCTTCGGTTCACACAACATACCAGTATGTCGTTTGTGTATCGACCAATCTAATATCTCTTGAACATGAGTAAGTCTTGATATATTAACCACCATGTATGGTATTTGCGTTTGTTTTGGCAGGGAGTATGTGCTAGTGAAGGGTGTTAACTATTACCACAATAACATGTATAGGTAGGTACTTGTGTTCTCTTAGGGAAACATTTGCAATGGCCAGAGGTGACACAATTCATTTGATCAGTTATCATTAAATAAATTTATAGTAACGTTAAACTAAATATGTATTATAGTTCTTTTTGTACCTTTCCATTTTTCTATTCCATCAAGGGGTGGTCAGGTAGCCTAGTGGTTAAAGCGTTCGCTCGTCACGCCCAAGACCCGGGTTCGATTCCCGACATGGGTACAATGTGTGAAGCCCATTGCTGGTGTCCCCCGCCATGATATTGCTGGAATATTGCTAAAAGCAGCATAAAACCAAACTCACTCACTCACTCACTCACTATTCCATCAAAGATTTAAACTATATCCTGATTGTAATCCTCTGACACAAAATGCTGAGAAAATGGAAAAACAAAGATTATTGTTATATTCTAAAAATATTTTTATCACAGCCGACCATGAAAACTTGTGCACCAAAACAAAAGCATATTTCTAGAATCTTGTAACACAGTAACGAGACTTAGCCCCCACAATTCGCCATTGTACAGAAGGAACTGCTTCTGAAATGATTTACATGACAATGCAGTGTTGACAGTTAGGGCAGCAACTCCAACCACATCCAGGCACCTTGTCATGTCAGAATTATTTGTCAAAAATAATTTCACCCTACCAACTGATTTTTTGGAGAAAAATCAGTAAACCAACTTAAAAGTGGCCGAACCAGAGAGATATGACTCATTATTACTGTGGTCTGAGTTTTAGTCTCATTTTGATTCCGTTTCTCTCCAGTAGGTCTGGGTGCAGGGGCTTCAGTAGTCTGTTTAGAAGTGTAGATTTCTCATTCGGCTAAAAACAATAATAGTCTTGGTTCTCAGGCACTGCCCGCATTATCATAAAGTCTGCCGCACGTTTCGTTTTTATTTCAATTTTAAAAAAATTAATAAGTCCTAATACTTTAAAAAAGTGATCCAACATTGCATGCAGTTACCTCCCTTTACATGCACACTGATTTACTGATCTCCTGTTATGGTCAGGGCAGCAATAGGAGTTTGTATGCTTTTTTATGTAGGGAGGCCCTTTCCCAAGTTGATGGTACACAACTGTTTATTTGGTTACATACTAGTTCAAACAAGCAAAAAACCTCCGCCCACCCGTACTATGTTTACAAAAGTCATTGCCTGAGAACCAATTATTTTATTTTTTTAAGCCTTAGGCAATCGTTATTTAGATAGGAATATGAGCCTGTTATGACACGGCCTTTTTTCCATGTAGCATGGTGTTGGGTTTCATACAGGTGTAGCATGGGAGCTACAGGTCTCCAGTGTACATAGTGTATATTGTTATTCATACAGTCACCATGGTTACTTCCTTTGTATTTAGATTTACTTGTTGATCTCTTATCTTGTTGCATTTACCTTATCATTGATTTCCCAGGAATAAATCCTTCAAACTAAACTGTTGTCTGTTCTACTTTGGAAATATTGTCCATCTGGCAGATTATTGTCAGATTATTGTCATCAAGTCATGATAAATCAGTTCACATTCGGGATTTCATGCTTGAGAAAACATTCAGTGATCATGAGATTGGTTGGTTGGTTTTTTATTTAACGCCGCACTCAGCAATATTCCAGCTATATGACGGCGGTCTGTAAATAATCGAGTCTGGACCAGACAATCCAGTGATCGATATCATGAGCATTGATTGGGATCGAAGACATGCATCAACCAAGTCAGTGAGCCTGACCACCCGATCCCGTTAGTCACCTCTTACGACAAGCATAGTCGCCTTTAACGACAAGCATGGCTTGCAGAAGACCTGTTCTACTCCGGATCTACCAATGGCATAAATTCAATGTACGGATTTCAAACTAAACTGTTGTCTGTTCTACTTTGGAAGTATTGTCCATCTGGCAGATTATTGTCAGATTATTGTTCTTCTGTCATCTAGTCAGTTCACTGTCTGGATTTCATGCTTGAGAAAACGTTCAGTGATCTTGAGAAAACGTTCAGTGATCTTGAGAAAACGTTCAGTGATCTTGAGAAAATTTGGGAAGGGCTTCATGTTCTGGGTCCAGTACAGGTGAGGATTTGGTTTTGTTGTTTAATGATTGTTACATGCTGCACTCAGCAAGATTCAACCTATATGACAGTCTGTAAATGATCAAGTCTAGATGAGAAAAAACAGATGTTCATATTATGAGCAAAATCTCACTATGGTTGGGTCTGATGACACATGGGGTACGCTGATGGGGTACGATGACACACGGGGTATACTGATGGGGTACGGTAACACACAGGGTATACTGATGGGGTACGATGACACACGGGGTATACTGATGGGGTACGGTAACACGTAGTGTATACTGATGGGGTACGCCGACACACAGTGTATACTGATGGGGTACGGTAACACACAGGGTATACTGATGGGGTACGATGACACACGGGGTATACTGATGGGGTACGATGACACACGGGGTATACTGATGGGGTACGATGACACACGGGGTATACTGATGGGGTATGCAGACACATGGGGTATACTGATGGGGTATACTGATGGGGTACACCAACACATGGGGGTATACTAATGGGGTACAATGACACACACGGTATACTGATGGGTTACGATGACACACAGGGTATACTGATGGGGTACGATGACACATGGGGTATACTGATTGGGTATGCCGACACATGGGGTATACAGATGGGGTACACTGATGGGGTACGATGACACATGGGGTATACTGATGTTGTAGGATGACACATGGGGTATACTGCTGGGGTACGTTGACACATGGGGTATACTGATGGGGTACGATGACACACGGGGTATACTGATGGGGTACGTTGACACATGGGGTATACTGATGGGGTACGTTGACACATGGGGTATACTGATGGGGTATGCCGACACATGGGGTATACAGATGGGGTACACCGACACATGGGGTACACTGATGGGGTATGATGACACATTGGGTATACTGATGTTGTAGGATGACACATGGGGTATACTGCTGGGGTACGTTGACACATGGGGTATACTGATGGGGTACGATGACACACGGGGTATACTGATGGGGTACGTTGACACATGGGGTATACTGATGGGGTACGATGACACACGGGGTATACTGATAGGGTACACCGACACATGGGGTCTACTGATGGGGTACGATGACACACGGGGTATACTGATGGGGTACGATGACACACAGGGTATACTGATGGGGTAGGATGACCCACGGGGTATACTGATGGGGTCCACCGACACATGGGGTCTACTGATGGGGTACACCGACACATGGGGTATACTGATGGAGTAGGATGACCCACGGGGTATACTGATGGGGTACACCGACACATGGGGTCTACTGATGGGGTACGATGACACATGGGGTATACTGATGGGGTACGATGACACCCAGGGTATACTGATGGGGTAGGATGACCCACGGGGTATACTGATGGGGTACACTGACACATGGGGTCTACTGATGGGGTACGATGACACACGGGGTATACTGATGGGGTATGATGACACATGGGGTACACTGATGGGGTACGATGACACACGGGGTATACTGATGGGGTACGATGACCCACGGGGTATACTGATGGGGTAGGATGACCCACGGGGTATACTGATGGGGTACACCGACAGATGGGGTCTACTGATGGGGTACGATGACACACGGGGTATACAGATGGGGTACAATGATACATGGGGTACACTGATGGGGTATGATGACACATGGGGTATACTGATGTTGTAGGATGACACATGGGGTATACTGCTGGGGTACGTTGACACATGGGGTATACTGATGGGGTACGATGACACACGGGGTATACTGATGGGGTACGTTGACACATGGGGTATACTGATGGGGTACGATGACACACGGGGTATACTGATGGGGTACGATGACACATGGGGTATGCTGATGGGGTACGATGACACATGGGGTATACTGATGGGGTATGCAGACACATGGGGTATACTGATGGGGTACGATGACCCACGGGTATACTGATGGGGTACGATGACACATCGGGTACGATGACCCACGGGGTATACTGATGGGGTACAATCACACATGGGGTATACTGATGGGGTACGCCGACACATGGGGTATTTTGATGGGGTACGATGACACGGGGTACACCGACACACGAGGTATACTGATGGGGTACGATGACACATGGGGTATACTGATGGGGTACGATGACACATGGGGTATACTGATTGGGAACGATGACACATGGGGTATGCTGATGGGGTACGATGACACATGGGGAAAACTGATGGGGTACGCCGACACATGGGGTATACTGATCGGGTACAATGACACACGGAGTATACTGATGTGGTACGATGACACACAGGGTACGCACTTTGGGTATACTGATTGGGTACAATGACACACGGGGTATACAGATTGGGTACGCCGACACATGGGGTATACAGATGGGGTACGATGACCCACGGGGTATACAGATGGGGTACGCCGACACATGGGGTATACTGATGGGGTACCATGACCCATGGGGTATACTGATGAGGTACAATGACACACGGGGTATACTGATGGGGTACGCCGAAACATGGGGTATACTGATGGGGTACGATGACACACAGGGTATACTGGTGGGGTATGATGAAACATGGGGTATACTGATGGAGTATGATGACACACGGGGTATACTGATGGGGTACAATGACACACACGGTATACTGATGGGTTACGATGACACACGGGGTATACTGATGGGGTACGATGACACATGGGGTATACTGATTGGGTTTGCTGACACAGTGGGTATACAGATGGGGTACACCGACACATGGGGTACACTGATGGGGTACGATGACACATGGGGTATACTGATGTTGTAGGATGACACATGGGGTATACTGCTGGGGTACGTTGACACATGGGGTATACTGATGGGGTAAGATGACACACGGGGTATACTGATGGGGTACGTTGACACATGGGGTATACTGATGGGGTACGATGACACACGGGGTATACTAATAGGGTATGCCGACACATGGGGTATACTGATGGGGTAGGATGACCCACGGGGTATACTGATGGGGTACACCGACACATGGGGTCTACTGATGGGGTACGATGACACATGGGGTATACTGATGTTGTAGGATGACACATGGGGTATACTGCTGGGGTACACCGACACATGGGGTACACTGATGGGGTACGATGACACATGGGGTATACTGATGTTGTAGGATGACACATGGGGTATACTGATGGGGTACGATGACACACGGGGTATACTGATGGGGTACGATGACACACGGGGTATACTGATGGGGTACGTTGACACATGGGGTATACTGATGGGGTATGCCGACACATGGGGTATACAGATGGGGTACACCGACACATGGGGTACACTGATGGGGTACGATGACACACTGGGTATACTGATGTTGTAGGATGACACATGGGGTATACTGCTGGGGTACGTTGACACATGGGGTATACTGATGGGGTACGATGACACACGGGGTATACTGATAGGGTACACCGACACATGGGGTATACTGATGGAGTAGGATGACCCACGGGGTATACTGATGGGGTACACCGACACATGGGGTCTACTGATGGGGTACGATGACACATGGGGTATACTGATGGGGTACGATGACACCCAGGGTATACTGATGGGGTAGGATGACCCACGGGGTATACTGATGGGGTACACTGACACATGGGGTCTACTGATGGGGTACAATGACACACGGGGTATACTGATGGGGTATGATGACACATGGGGTCTACTGATGGGGTACGATGACACACGGGGTATACTGATGGGGTACGATGACCCACGGGGTATACTGATGGGGTAGGATGACCCACGGGGTATACTGATGGGGTACACCGACAGATGGGGTCTACTGATGGGGTACGATGACACACGGGGTATACAGATGGGGTACAATGATACATGGGGTACACTGATGGGGTATGATGACACATGGGGTATACTGATGTTGTAGGATGACACATGGGGTATATTGCTGGGGTACGTTGACACATGGGGTATACTGATGGGGTACGATGACACACGGGGTATACTGATGGGGTATGCAGACACATGGGGTATACTGATGGGGTACGATGACCCACGGGTATACTGATGGGGTACGATGACACATGGGGTACGATGACCCACGGGGTATACTGATGGGGTACAATCACACATGGGGTATACTGATGGGGTACGCCGACACATGGGGTATTTTGATGGGGTACGATGACACGGGGTACACCGACACACGAGGTATACTGATGGGGTACGATGACACATGGGGTATACTGATGGGGTACGATGACACATGGGGTATACTGATGGGGAACGATGACACATGGGGTATGCTGATGGGGTACGATGACACATGGGGAAAACTGATGGGGTACGCCGACACATGGGGTATACTGATCGGGTACAATGACACACGGAGTATACTGATGTGGTACGATGACACACAGGGTACGCACTTTGGGTATACTGATTGGGTACAATGACACACGGGGTATACAGATTGGGTACGCCGACACATGGGGTATACAGATGGGGTACGATGACCCACGGGGTATACAGATGGGGTACGCCGACACATGGGGTATACTGATGGGGTACCATGACCCAAGGGGTATACTGATGAGGTACAATGACACATGGGGTATACTGATGGGGTACGCCGAAACATGGGGTATACTGATGGGGTACGATGACACACAGGGTATACTGATGGGGTACAATGACCCACGGGGTATACTGATGGGGTAGGATGACCCACGGGGTATACTGGTGGAGTACACCGACACATGGGGTCTACTGATGGGGTACGATGACACACGGGGTATACTGATGGGGTACGATGACACACAGGGTATACTGATGGGGTAGGATGACCCATGGGGTATACTGATGGGGTACACCGACACATGGGATCTACTGATGGGGTACGATGACACACGGGGTATATTGATGGGGTACACCGACACATGGGGTATACTGATGGGGTAGGATGACCCACGGGGTATACTGATGGGGTACACCGACACATGGGGTCTACTGATGGGGTACGATGACACACGGGGTATACTGATGGGGTACGATGACACACAGGGTATACTGATGGGGTAGGATGACCCACGGGGTATGCTGATGGGGTACACCGACACATGGGGTCTACTGATGGGGTAGGATGACCCACGGGGTATACTGATGGGGTATGATGACACATGGGGTATACTGATGGGGTAGGATGACACACACGGTATACTGATGGGGTACGATGACACACGGGGTATACTGATGGGGTAGGATGACACACACGGTATACTGATGGAGTACGATGACACACGGGTAATACTGATGGGGTAGGATGACACACACGGTATACTGATGGAGTACGATGACACACGGGTAATACTGATGGGGTAGGATGACACACACGGTATACTGATTGAGTACGATGACACACGGGTAATACTGATGGGGTAGGATGACACACACGGTATACTGATGGGGTACGATGACACACTGGGTATACTGATGGGGTATACTGATGGGGTACGCTAACACATGGGGTATACAGATGGGGAACGATGACCCACGGGGTATACTGATGGGGTACGATTACACACGGGGTATACTGATGGGATTTGATGACACACAGGGTGTACTGATGGGGTACGATGACCCACGGGGTATACTGATGGGGTAGGATGACACACACGGTATACTGATGGGGTACGATGACACACGGGGTATACTGATAGGGTAGGATGACACACGGGGTATACTGATGGGTTACACCCACACATGGGGTCTACTGATGGGGTACGATGACACATGGGGTATACTGATGGGGTACAATGACCCACGGGGTATACTGATGGGGTAGGATGACCCACAGGGTATACTGATGGGGTAGGATGACACACACGGTATACTGATGGGGTACGATGACACATGGGGTATACTGATGGGGTAGGATGACACACACGGTATACTGATGGGGTACGATGACACACGGGGTATACTGATGGGGTACACCGACACATGGGGTCTACTGATTGGGTACGATGACACATGGGGTATACTGATGGGGTACCATGACACACACAGTATACTGATGGGGTACGATGACACATGGGGGTATACTGATGGGGTACCATGACACGGTATACTGATGGGGTACGATGACACATGGGGTATACTGATGGGGTACCATGACACACACGGTATACTGATGGGGTACGATGACACATGGGGTATACTGATGGGGTACCATGACACATGGGGTATACTGATGGGGTACCATGACACATGGGGTATACTGATGGGGTACGATGACACATGGGGTATGCTGATGGGGTACGATGACACACGGGGTATACTGATGGGGGTACCATGACACATGGGGTATACTGATGGGGTACACCGACACATGGGGTCTACTGATGGGGTACGATGACACACACGGTATACTGATGGGGTAGGATGACACACGGGGTATACTGATGGGGTACACCGACACATGGGGTCTACTGATGGGGTACGATGACACATGGGGTATACTGATGGGGTACCATGACACACACTAGACTGATGGGTACCATGACACACACGGTATACTGATGGGGTACGATGACACATGGGGGTATACTGATGGGGTACCATGACACGGTATACTGATGGGGTACGATGACACGTGGGGTATACTGATGGGGTACCATGACACACACGGTATACTGATGGGGTAAGATGACACATGGGGTATACTGATGGGGTATGATGACACATGGGGTATACTGATGGGGTACGATGACACATGGGGTATACTGATGGGGTACGATGACACACAGGGTATACAGATGGGGTACGATGACACATGGGGTATACTGATGGGGTACGATGACACATGGGGTCTACTGATGGGGTATGATGACCAACGGGGTATACTGATGGGGTATGATGACCAACGGGGTATACTGATGGGGTACGATAACACACAGGGTATACTGATGGGATTTGATGACACACAGGGTCTACTGATGGCGTATGATGACACACGGGGTATACGGATGGGGTATGATGACCAACGGGGTATACTGATTTGGTACGATAACACACAGGGTATACGGATGGGGTACGATAACACACAGGGTATACTGATGGGATTTGATGACACACAGGGTCTACTGATGGGGTATGATGACACACTGGGTATACAGATGGGATTTGATGACACACAGGGTATACTCATGTGGTATGATAACACACAGGGTATACTGATGGGATTTGATGACACACAGGGTATACTCATGGGGTATGATGACACACGGGGTATACGGATGGGGTACGTCGAAACATTGGGTCTACTGATGGGGTACGATGACACATGGGGATACTGATGGGGCACGCCGACACATGGGGTATACTGATGGGATACGATGACACACAGGGTATACTGATGGGGTACGATGACACACAGGGTCTACTGATGGGGTACGATGACACTGGGTACGATGACAAACAGGGTACCTGATGGCAAACAATGACACACTTGGTACGCTGATGGGGTACAAGGACACATGGGGCACGCTGACAGTCGTCTGAGGCACTGCAATTTGCTGTGCAGATTTGCGCCCCTTGGGCACGCCAGAAACCTATGATTGTGGGTTCGAATCCCAGTCCGCCCCAATTATATTTCCAGGTTTGTCAGCATCATACCCGTGGTCCAGGGTTTCACAAAAGTGACAATGAACGTCTGAGACCTGCGTCGCTTTGGGCTTTCCTCACACATTAAGCAGACACACCGTGATATAACTAATACTGTTAAAAGCGGCGTTAAACCCAACTCACTCACTCACACACACACACTCTGAATTAATCAAATAAAGAGGTGTGGTGAGGTGAAATGGGGTTTCCAGTTTAACAGATTCCCAACTCAGACACATACAAGTGCTTGTTTTATCCCTTAATGCAAAGCACCAGGCAGGGTAACAACAAGTACCATATATAGGAATCAAACCACCAACCATCCGCTCTCTGGGCAGATGATCAATCCACTACACAATGAAGCGGTCCCTTCACACAAAACAACACAAACATAAAACAAAGATTTGTACAGATTTATTTCTATTTACAAGTAATTTTTCAAACGGAATGTGACCATAGCTTGCCAAGCAGAGAGCTCAGGGGAGGCGTCAACACACAACAAGTGAGACTGTTAGTCACTTAAGGATGAAATGAATTCAACACATGATGAATATTTAGGACTTGGTATCTTCCAGTAAACAACCCATGCCTGCCATAAGAGGCGACTATGCCTGCCGTAAGAGGCGACTATGCCTGCCGTAAGAGGCGACTATGCCTGCCGTAAGAGGCGACTATGCCTGCCGTAACTGGCAACTATGCCTGCCGTAAGAGGCGACTATGCCTGCCGTAAGAGGCGACTAGGCCTGCCGTAAGAGGCGACTATGCCTGCCGTAAGAAGCGACTAACAGGATTGGGTGGTCAGACTCGCTGACTTGGCTGATGCATGTCATCAATCCCATGCCGAGCGCCAGACAGGGTAACAACAAGTACCATCTTTTAACGTCTTTTGGTATGACGCAGCCGTGGATCGAACCCTGGACCTTCTGCTCTCCGGGCGGACGCTCTACATCTAGACTACGGAGGCGGTCATAGGGAACTTTAACAAATGACAGATAGCTGGGAAGCATCCTTCACAAAGACAGCAGATCACTATGAATGCCTTCAAGCAGGTACAGTATCAAGTGCCTCTGCATTCTCTAAGGATGTCTGCTGGGAGACAAACATATTGGTTCCACATGAAATTTATGGGGATCAAATACTGTTTAACACTCGCAATTCTCGAAACAGGTAATGTACTTTTACATTGTAACATGATATCAGTAATTTTATATTGCACTTTTTCTTTAATACTCAAATAGCTGAGACATTGGCCTCAGTCTGGCACATTCCATCGATGACTTCATAATGTTGATAGTGATTCGTAAGCACATGCTCATGATACAGATGGAATCATACAATCGGTTCTGTTCTCGGCAGTGATTTCTTAGAAATATGGAAAGGGTTTTGTCCCTTTTTCACACAATGCTATGTTATATGCAATATCGTGCTTCCTTGACAACTGAATTCCATGGTTGCCCACATCCTGCTGGCGTCACTGGAGTCGCTTCTAAAAACTGCACTGAACCATTGAATTTTCCACAAAACTTAAACCACCACATCATATCTCCAGGTGCACTCTTTAAGTCTTACATGGTGATTGACCCTTTTTAGTTCATTAAATCAATCATAAACCATTTTACAGGAGACACGTCAATCAGTGAGGCTGTTTAACAGTTTGAAGATACTTGGCTAGTGTAGGATGTCCTCCCCTCTGAGCTACACATTGAATGTCATCATTACTGTCTGTTAGTAATGTGAGGTCAGCTTTGTGCTGCACAAGGAGGTCCACCACATCTTTATGTCCACTGTATGCAGCCTTCATCACAGGTGTGTATCCTTCACTCCCTCTACTGTTGATGTTAGAAGGGGACAAAACATGTTGAACTATAGCTGTGTTCCCACCCTGACAGGCAAAATGAAGTAAACTATCACCATCTGTATCCACCAGTGTGAGGTCAGCTTGGTGCTGCACAAGGAGGTCCACCACATCTTTATGTCCACTGTATGCAGCCTTCATTACAGGTGTGTATCCTTTCATCCCTCTACTGTTGATGTTAGAAGGAGACAGGACATGTTGTACTATAGCTGTGTTCCCACCCTGACAGGCAAGATGAAGTAAACTATCACCAGATGTATCCACCAGTGTGAGGTCAGCTTGGTTTGACACAAGGAGGTCAAACACACTTTGATGTCCACTGACAGCTGCAACCATCACTGGTGTCCATCCATGTCTGCCTCTACTGTTGATGTTAGAAGGGGTCAGGACATGTTGTACTAAAGCTGTGTTCCCACCCTGACAGGCAAGATGAAGTAAACTATCACCAGATGTAGACACCAGTGTGAGGTCAGCTTGGTTTGACACAAGGAGGTCAAACACACTTTGATGTCCACTGACAGCTGCAACCATCACTGGTGTCCATCTATTCTCCCCTCTACTGTTGATGTTAGAAGGGGACAGGACATGTTGTACTATAGCTGTGTTCCCACCCTGACAGGCAAGATGAAGTAAACTATCACCAGATGTATCCACCAGTGTGAGGTCAGCTTGGTTTGACACAAGGAGGTCAAACATACTTTCATGTCCACTGACAGCTGCCTTCATCACTGGTGTCCATCCATGTCTGCCTCTACTGTTGATGTTAGAAGGGGACAGGACATGTTGTACTATAGCTGTGTTCCCACCACGACAGGCAAGATGAAGTAAACTATCACCAGATGTAGACACCAGTGTGAGGTCAGCTTGGTTTGACACAAGGAGGTCAAACACACTTTCATGTCCACTGACAGCTGCAACCATCACTGGTGTCCATCTATACTCCCCTCTACTGTTGATGTTAGAAGGGGACAGGACATGTTGTACTATAGCTGTGTTCCCACCCTGACAGGCAAGATGAAGTAAACTATCACCAGATGTAGCCACCAGTGTGAGGTCAACTTGGTTTGACACAAGGAGGTCAAACACACTTTCATGTCCACTGACAGCTGCCTTCATCACTGCTGTCCATCCATGTATGCCTCTACTGTTGATGTTAGAAGGAGACAGGACATGTTGTACTATAGCTGTGTTCCCACCCTGACAGGCGTGATGAAGTAAACTATCACCATATGTATCCACCAGTGTGAGGTCAGCTTGGTTTGACACAAGGAGGTCAAACACACTTTCATGTCCACTGACAGCTGCAACCATCACTGGTGTCCATCTATTCTCCCCTCTACTGTTGATGTTAGAAGGGGACAGGACATGTTGTACTATAGCTGTGTTCCCACCACGACAGGCAAGATGAAGTAAACTATCACCAGATGTATCCACCAGTGTGAGGTCAGCTTGGTTTGACACAAGGAGGTCAAACACACTTTCATGTCCACTGACAGCTGCAACCATTACTGGTGTCCATCCATGCATCCCTCTACTGTTGATGTTAGAAGGAGACAGGACATGTTGTACTAAAGCTGTGTTCCCAACATGACAGGCAAGATGAAGTAAACTATCACCATCTGTATCCACCAGTGTGAGGTCAGCTTGGTTTGACACAAGGAGGTCAAACACACTTTCATGTCCACTGACAGCTGCCCTCATCACAGGAGTGCATCCATACATTCCTCTACTGTTGATGTTAGAAGGAGACAGGACATGTTGTACTATAGCTGTGTTCCCACCCTGACAGGCAAGATGAAGTAAACTATCACCAGATGTAGACACCAGTGTGAGGTCAGCTTGGTTTGACACAAGGAGGTCAAACACACTTTCATGTCCACTGACAGCTGCCCTCATCACTGGTGTCCATCCATGCATCCCTCTACTGTTGATGTTAGAAGGGGACAAGACATGTTGTACTATAGCTGTGTTCCCACCCTCACAGGCAAGATGAAGTAAACTATCACCAGATGTAGACACCAGTGTGAGGTCAGCTTGGTTTGACACAAGGAGGTCAAACACCCTTTCATGTCCACTGACAGCTGCCTTCATCACAGGTGTGCATCCTTTCATCCCTCTACTGTTGATGTTAGAAGGGGACAAGACATGTTGTACTATAGCTGTGTTCCCACCCTGACAGGCAAGATGAAGTAAACTATCACCAGATATAGACACCAGTGTGAGGTCAGCTTGGTTTGACACAAGGAGGTCAAACACACTTTCATGTCCACTGACAGCTGCCCTCATCACTGGTGTCCATCCATGTATGCCTCTACTGTTGATGTTAGAAGGGGACAAGACATGTTGTACTATAGCTGTGTTCCCACCCTGACAGGCAAGATGAAGTAAACTATCACCAGATGTATCCACCAGTGTGAAGTCAGCTTGGTTTGACACAAGGAGGTCAAACACACTTTCATGTCCACTGACAGCTGCCCTCATCACTGGTGTGCATCCTTTCATCCCTCTACTGTTGATGTTAGAAGGGGAAAGGACATGTTGCACTATAGCTGTGTTCCCACCCTGACAGGCAAGATGAAGTAAACTATCACCAGATGTAGACACCAGTGTGAGGTCAGCTTTGTGCTGCACAAGGAGGTCCACCACATCTTTATGTCCACAGTATGCAGCCCTCATCACAGGAGTGTATCCTTTCATCCCTCTACTGTTGATGTTAGAAGGAGACAGGACATGTTGTACTATAGCTGTGTTCCCACCCTGACAGGCAAGATGAAGTAAACTATCACCAGATGTAGCCACCAGTGTGAGGTCAGCTTGGTTTGACACAAGTAGGTCAAACACACTTTCATGTCCACTGACAGCTGCCCTCATCACTGGTGTCCATCCATGTCTGCCTCTACTGTTGATGTTAGAAGGGGACAAGACATGTTGTACTATAGCTGTGTTCCCACCCTGACAGGCAAGATGAAGTAAACTATCACCAGATGTATCCACCAGTGTGAAGTCAGCTTGGTTTGACACAAGGAGGTCAAACACACTTTCATGTCCACTGACAGCTGCCCTCATCACTGGTGTGCATCCTTTCATCCCTCTACTGTTGATGTTAGAAGGGGAAAGGACATGTTGCACTATAGCCTTGTTACCACCCTCACAGGCAAGATGAATAATTCCGTAGCTATGTTTATCTTTCACATTCAAGTTTGATAATGTCAGCAGTAACTGAAAACATCCCTCTGATCCTGTTAGTGCTGCAACCATGACTGGGGTCCTGCCATTCACATCAATAGAGTTTATAACATTATTCCCAGGCTTCCTGTTTAACAGGACTTTCAGGGTTTTTTCCATTCCTGATTTACAGACCAGATGTAAGCTGTTTTGCATGTCCTTGTCACTGGTGTTAATATCAGCACCTTCCTGCAGCAGATACACTAGTGTGTCAGAGCTGCCATTTCCAGCAGCTACCAACGAAAGTCTGTTTAGTGTCAATTGATGGTCATTTTTCTCACTCCTGCTGAACAGCCATTTCAATGCTGTCACGTTGTTGCTTTGTGCACATACTTCCAAAGCCTCACTGATCTCTCCTTGAGTTAACTCTTCTCCAGTTGTGTGTTCTATATCTGTAACTAGACATGCATTATGTCCAAGAACTGCCCAATACAGAAAACATTGTCCTTTCTCTTTCTTGTGAAACCAAGGTTCTTCCTTAGAATCAGTTTGATTATGCTGATGAAGCGGTTTCATCCCCTCGCTCCGAAGTTTGTTAAGCAGTTTCGAAACTGTCCTGTCTTGTTTGAGAATTGGATGTGTCACTGATTTAGAAAACTGTCCTTGTTTAATAGACTGTGCAATCCTTGTGGTAAGCAGGTCATCATAATTCTCTGAGACATATATCAAATGGAGATGATCGTCAACTTTGGTTTCTTCAACCTTATCACCTTGTACTCTTTCAAACAGAAAATCATCACTGCAGTGCTTCAAAACAAAGATTGGACTGATATTGTAGAAGGCACAGGCACAAGCATCATAGATTGAAGAATGAGCAAAGCCAACAGTGTCTCCTCTTGTGAAGAATGTACCTCTCAAACTTTTAGCTGCTTTGTACATGCCTGAACGTGTTGCATCAGACATCAGCTGTAAAACAGTTTTGACCAGGCTGTCCATTTCCTTGTCCCCGTCTCCACTGTCTAACTTGGCCAGGTCCAATTTGTCTTCACACAGTAGCATCAGAACCAAAATGGCTGATCGGTCATTTCTCTCTTCAAGCAAATGCTTTAGCTCTAACCTTAGATAAAACAGTGGTTCCTTGAAAAATAACTTTGTACTTTTGTAGAAAGAGGCAAATTCAAAACAAAGTTTACAAATAAGAGGGAATCCAAAGATATTTGAAGACATTTCCAGCTCACTGTAATCTGGTATATGTTCTTTGGAGCAGTCACCAAGAGCATTCTTATGTCGTTCAAATATTGTCTTTTTCTCTTTGTCAGAAAGCAAGTATTTATCTTGTGTGGTTAAATCCATTACAGTTTGACCTTTGAACAGTTTGAAACCCTCATATTGCAGTTTTGCAAGTCCATCATGGAAGTTGTACGACTTTGATGTGAAGACAACACGAATATCCTTTGTTTGACATTCTGGTTGACTCTGCACTTTCTTTCTGGATGTACCTACAGCATCACTGCTCTCATGCATTTCTGACTTATGCATTTCTGACTGCAGCTTTTCCGCAGTCTGCTTTTGTTCTAAATGGAGGAGAATGTTGTTTAGAAAGGACTTCATCTGTGCCATATTTGCAGATAATCCAACAGTACCAAACATGTCATCTACTATGAGAAATACTCTGGGGTGTCTACTAAGACAGAGGTCTAAGTCGAACTTCTCAATGTTGTCCACAAACATGACCTCATAGCCCTTGCGTCTATACCGTGAACCCAACACCAGAGCCATCGTTGTCTTGCCTTCTCCTGAAGCCCCGCAGATGGTCACATGACCAAATTCCTTCAATGTTTGTTCCACTGTTTTGTATGGTTCGGTTGGATGAAAAATCTTCCTCGCTTCGTCTGTGCGCAAATCAAGGGTACCTGTGGAGGAATAGTAACTATTTACCACCCAGCAAATACTTGGATGTTAAAATTAAACTACAAAATACTTGCTAACTACATACATCTTTTTGTGTTAAGTTTTAGGGGAAAATATTCAATTGAATCATACATCACACAGACGTGTTCCTGACACAACATCTTTCTTTATATAATAGCCATCTCAATTCAGTCTTGTTTTTAATGGCCATGTTTGACATTTTGCCAGATTCAACCCTCTTGATCAAATTCAAATCTTAACTTTTAATCTGAGTGAGTGAGTGAATATGGTTTTACGCCGCTTTTAGCAATATTCCAGCAATATCACGGCGGGGGACACCAGAAATGGGCTTCACACATTGTACCCATGTCGGGAATCGAACCCGGGTCTTCGGCGTGACGAGCGAACGCTTTAACCACTAGGCTACCCGACCGCCCCTCTTTTAATCTGATACAATGCCTCTCTGTGTTAAGACAATTCCAGGGTAGAAAAGGTCTTCAGCATTCCATACTTGCCGTAAAAGGCGACTTTGTTTGTCGTAAAAGGAGACTAACGGGATCGGGTGGTCAGGCTCGCTGACTTGGTTGATACATGTCATCGATCCCAATTGCGTGGATCAATGCTCATGATATCAATCACTGGATTGTCTGGTCCAGGCTCGATTATTTACAGACTGCCGTCATATAGCTGGAATATTGCTGAGTGCGACGTTAAACAACAAACCAACATCTTATGCCATAGGAGGTCACATCAGGATTTAACATTTGGCCCGTGAATAAGCACTGATCTGTTCTCGAGAATGGCACAACATCATGGTCAATGCTTCAGGATACTCCATCATTCAATGCATAAGGATGACATGTTAGACCAGGGAAATAACATTCCAAGTGAGGATAGGCAGCCATCAACTCCATCAGATCAGGGGGCACAGGTGGCCCAGTCGTCTAAGGCCGGAGATTCCCTGTGCAGAGTTGCGTCCCTTGAGCAGCCAGAAACCTATGATTGTGGGTTCGAATAATGCTTTTCCCCGTTTGTGTTTCTAGGTTTGTCAGCACAATACCCGTGCTCGTGGGTTTCACCAAAGTGGTAAAGAGACCTGAGACCTGAGACCTGCATCACTTGGGGCTTTCCTCCAACATTAAGCTGGCACGCCGCGATGTAACTGGAATACTGTTAAAAGCGGCGTTAAAACTAACTCACTCACTTGCACAAGATCTAGTTATCTATTGGCCCTTCAGCCATGAACGCTCACCTCTCCCGAGTGTTCCTTGTCCGGCTGGTCCAGTGAAGATGTTCAGAGTGTTGGCCACCTGGGAGTTCCCTGAAGGATGTTCACCTGTCAACACCAATATATGAAGAATCATTGGTAGCCATGGATACCAACATTTGAATTGATCAGATGTTTTCATACAACATTGAATAACATCATTAAATTTGTTTGTCTATTTGTTGTTTTACGCCACACTCAGCAATATTCCAGCTATATGACAGCGGTCTGTAAGTAATCGTGTCTGGACCAGACACTCCAGTGATTGACAACATCAGCATCGATCCATGCAATTGTCAGCGAGCATGACCACCCAATCCCGTTCGTCGCCTCGAGGTCAAGAGGTCAAGAGAGAGAGAGAGAGGTAGGTGTAATGAAAACTTTAACATTGTCATATGCATTGAACATAACAATGATAAAAGAGGGACAATTGTGTGAGGTGTAATTACAATGTTGTGTGAGTGCACAAATATACATAGAACTACTTGGGGAAGTTTGGAGAATTACACTTTGGAATTAAGATTAGGTAAGCCTAATGAACATCTGTGTTTTTCCATTTGTAAATGTTGAACAATTTATAAAACGATTACACAATGCCATTTAGACAGTGGTCAAAATGTTATATTTGGGATAACACTTTCTTAGTTAAGTACCTGCTCACCACATGCTGCACATGTTAAGACATATATCACATCTTTACAACATGACAAGATATCCAAAGTTACATGGGGCTGCTTCTAAGAGAAGGAGATAATTCACTTAATAAATAATGTTGTTCCTGGGTAAATTATGTCAAAAATGACACAGGGAGACATTATGACGAATGACACCCACCTGTACCTAATCTGGTGACTGGTTGGCTCACCAGCACAAGGTCCTCCTCATGCTCAGCTGATCCTGCCATTACCAGGCGACCTTCAGGTTCCTCGTCTGAACTGACCACGCTGTTGCCAGAGTCATCCTCTGCTGTGAGGTACTCCTCATCTGAACTTGCAGTGTCAACATCAGAAATAGCCAAGTGTTCCCTCGACACAGATATGTTCACATGACCTCCAACCTGCTCCCCGGAAGTGGTCCTATGACCTCCAACCTGCTCCCCAGAAGTGGTCCTGTGACCTCCAACCTGCTCACCGGAAGTGGCCATGTGACCTCCAACCTGCTCACCGGAAGTGGCCATGTGACCTCCAGTCTGCTCACCCGAAGTGGCCATGTGACCTCCAGTCTGCTCACCCGAAGTGGCCATGTGACCTCCAGTCTGCTCACCGGAAGTGGCCATTACCAGACGGTGTCCACTGTCCTCATCTGTACTGGCCGTCACAGTTCAGCTTATCACATCGCCATGCACTATCTGTGAAAATGGAGGGAATCTTATCATGCTGTGACAATAAGTGAAGCAGGTCAGACAGCATTGCCATGGGCTCTGTAGCTGACCAGCTGTATGTCAAGATCAAGGTCATCAGTTCAGTGTCCCATTAGTGAGTTTTCATGGTTAAGAGTGAGTGAGTGAGTTAGGTTTAACACCATTTTTAACAGATCAAAGTGGTAAACGTCTGAGACCTGCATCACCTTGGGGCTTTCCTCCCACATTAAGCTGACACGCCGCGATATAACTGGAACGCTGTTAAAAGCGGCATTAAACCTCACTCACTCACTATTTTGAGAGCTAAAACAAGACTAGTCAGCTTGGGTCTGTATATTGTTTCTGAGTGGGGTTAAACTGCAGCATGTATCTCAGCGAGCTAGCACTATAAAATCACCATTAGTCCGGACTAGTACAAACAAATATACACAAACACCGCTATATAAGTGCAATAATGTTGGACGTGACGTTAAACACCATTTCACCTCACCTCAAGGTTAATCAAGGTCAAAATCTAAAATATCAGAAAAACAGAATTTATGAGTGCCAATATGCTAATTGCAAAAATACCAAATTTCATTTCATTTTCAACAAAAGTTCAATAGCCACAAACATGGATTTCAACATGGCCTCTTTTCAACTTCCTTGTTCCAGTAGGTATGAGGAGATTGCGAGGAAATACAGTTTCAGAGAATTTAGGAGCATGGTCAAAACAATATTTGAAAGAAGATTTAATTAATAGTATTGGAACATACAGATCTAGGTATTCAGTTTTACAACTTACTACACATATAAACGATTTCATTACATTGTGAACAAAATCTGATCACTGTATAATGAGAACGGACATATGAGTTTTTCAATATGTTTGTATTGGCAGCCACATCAAAAATTGGATTCCAAAGTCTTGAACATAGAGGGATGTCAGAGACGGATACAGCTTTTTGAAAAGGGGGGGGGGGGGTGCACAAGTAAGATCTATTTATTGTCTTTGGTGGTAGCCTGCAACCTCGGGGTATCGCGGTACTTGTCATGTACACTAAACGGAACAAAAAGCACACACTTACCTTTATGATTATTCGTGGTTTCTGTATCAGATATCATTCATATTATCAAACAATGCATATTTTACTGATAAAAGTTAATTATTTACATCATTAGCTCTGAGTAAAAGCCGGGCCTCGCGCTCTGTTTGACAAGGGAGAGAACTCCATCGTATCGCGGTACAGAGAAAAGTTGTGTATGGAGGTCCGAATATTGGACAAAGAGAGGACATAATTCTACCAACCATCAGTGATTTGTCCAGACAAGTGCAAAGACAGCACTAGTAAAATTCTAAATGTGTTATCAGCAATAGGTATTCAATGCATTTTTACCGAAAAGTAAGAGAAAAATATTTGTATAAATCAACAACAAAATATCAGAAATGATATTTTAAGATTGTCTAAAAAAATTGGATGACAATAATTTGTCACAAAATGGAAAAATGTTAAAAGTCAACAATAAATATATAAAAAGCACTCCTACGATGCCCAAAGTATGTATTTATCTATTGATTACTAGTGCAGAACGTATTTCTAAGTTTGGCATTATGGCCCTTATGATCTCCCAATATATTCTGGGCACGGAGCGGGAAAATATGTGCGGACTACGTAACTTCCGTTACCTCATTAGTCGCCATGAATATGCAGATGATCTAGTTCAGGTCGATAGAGAAAGTTTACCTGGGGAACTGCGGGTTATATCGTTGGCCATTGATAGATGGGGGTAAGGCAATATTACAACAGATGCCAGAAATATGTATCAACGGATTAATAACTCCTTACTTACAGCAGACGGAACATTCCGAGGAAATTGAAATTGTTTACGAAGTGAGCACGTCCTGGTTACTGATTTGCATTAATGGACAGCTGCTAAGAGGCGTGTCCCGCGTGAACTATCGGAAATCACAAATGCCGCGATACGATGAATGCCGCGGTACCATGGGGTCCGAGTATAATTTATACAGAAATAATGATTTTTTTCGAAATAAAAAGGGGGTGCGCACCCCTGCACATACCCCCACACCCCAGCCCCAGAGAAGATATTGAGGAAGCACAACATCCAAGGACAAACAGACTGACCTCAAAATGGCGGCCGTGCTTAAAGTTGGATGAATAATTATGGGAACTTTATAAGACTGACACACTAGCTTGTATCATTCATACAAAGTTACAAATTCATAGGCTTGGCAGTGTAACGACCGATGGACCAACGGCAGCACAACGCCTCACAAAATAACTCAACATCCCGAGAGACTGTCTGAAATCTGCTTGAACATTTCTGTCTTCACATACTTCACTGTGGACGTTTTATCTGCATGACTTAGTGTGTTACACAGATTCCGAATACAATGTACATATCACTTATACCAGCTGATTACATAATACCATACTGAAGCCAACTCACAGAGCAAGACATCACGGAATACGTTGAAAATACGTTGTTTCAGAAGTGGTGGACTGGGACTTGTACCAACATCCTGGTTGACGCCTAGCTGTAGACTATAGTGTAACTCCGCCCCAGTGTGCGGTTCAGCGAATCCTACTTTCACTTTCACTTTCACTTTCAGCCTTTTGCTCGACATACAGCAACAAAAAGTTCCCGTCTCGTCTTCTATGGGGTCCCATCATATCGTTTCTCCTTCTCTTACTGCCACTGAAAGTTATTTCGTGAGTTTTTGTTTCTACACTGGCACCATGCTCGCTGTTCTAAAAGGAAACGTGAAAACGGGAATACCCAAACTATTTATAGTTTCGTCCCGCAGTGTATATTAATAGTTAATTCCATTGGTTGTTATTACAGATAAATCCAGCCTGGTGGTGACTTAAGCTGGGCCCCGTCTCCAATATCACACTATAGGAGCCGGTACAGGCCAATGAGACGATGGCTGTGAGCGCCTTCGAAATATTAAACATACACTATGTTATGTAATTTTTCATTGGTCGCTATTTTAAGACGACGCGCTTCCCTTCTACAAAAGCCTCCACTGAGAAACATCACAAACTACTTTAAGTCATTTTGTTAGATGTGCCACCGTCGGGTGCAGGAAAGACCTTCAAACTTTAAATTGTAATTAATTGTAGGAAATTAAATTTCCAAAATTATTTTCTTCATATATTTTACGTACATGATATCGATATGTAAGAGAAATGATAGTAAACATAGTCTAGCGTATTCTTTGCATGAACATTTCGCAGGTTTTCGAATACACCCCCAAATTGTGCTATGCGAGAAAAATATTTATTATACACTTGTCAGAAAACTTTGAGCGAATAAAATATTCTCAGGTATTTGAACGAGATACGCAAGTAGGAAGTTTATATATGTCGACATATGTAGAGCCACCCATAAAGTATAAATGTCGCATTGAAAATATTCCTAACTTTGTCTTTCCATTCCATGACGTCTAAAAAGTTTATTTTAAGAGGGTTGGTGTTCCATTTAAGGAATAAAGAATAACTCGTAATAAATATGATGTGACTATTCTGACAAAATAGAAATTTGTTGTACGACTTGTATGTGGTTGCAATATATTTATTGGATGATTACGTTTAAAATGATAAAACCTCTGTTGAAAATATTGAAATTGGAATAGAATAGCAATTAACGATGGCCGATGTTGATATTTTCTAGCTATATATTTTTAAACAACATTCAAATGCAATACAATTAATAATACCAACGAAATTAGTCAATGTCCATTACTCAACAAATGGGCAGAATCATAATAGTGGATGGTTTCTATTCATTCACCCTCTAACTTTGTACAACGTTGTAGCTGAGTGACAGCAGTATGAAGGTGACATTCCTTTCCAAAGTGTTACAAATAATACCATAGTAGTAATGTAGTCTAAGATTGCACCTGGGTGCGTCCAGGTGTCGATTTTCTTTTAACATGGATGGTATTTAGTAACTATTTACATAAATCTAACCTGTGTCAAGTGATTCTGTTGATAATTTTCAAGATCGTTGGAAAGATGGTATGGGGTCTTATGGTATGCGTTCTTAGAAAACTGCTTTCCATATTACTGAACATGACAGACATGGGCATCATCCTCAAAAGGAGTTATCTCTGTGGCATCGAACCTTTTATTAATGCATTACAACTATCCCCAAACAATCAGAGAGAAGAGGTTCTCTTACCTCGATTCGGGCATTGCTGTCTTGCATATCTCAATATTAAGCATAATAAAAACATTTCTGCACATTGTACAGTTCATTATTAACTGCATTGTCAAAAGTATGTGACTCAACGTAAGGTAATGATGTAACACTGTCCAGATTAAAGAGATATCGTATACGACACTATATATATATATATATAAACTTATCAATTTCCTGTCCAAACAAACAGGAGATTATCAAAGGTAGATACACGTTGTGGCCTAGATCTACGTATAATATCATATCGAACATTGACAAATATCCAAAGTAGGCGAAAAAATGTATGAAAGATATCCAAAATCTACAAATAATTATAACTGTAAACAGCAGGATACAATGATCGTGTGTGCTTTCATTCAACATTGTTCAAAGACCTTCACCTCAACAACGTTGGCGTATGACATCACTACCGGTGACCGACTTTTACAAAATGGCGTGTTCACTGTCAACAGTACGCGGGATTTTAAGATGGGACTTTCGTTGATTCAGGAATCGTGCATGCATAAATGTGATGTAAGTAATCAGAAACATTCCGACAATTAGTGTACTGTTATTTGTTGTGATATTTTTCATTGAAACCAACGGAAATAGTCAGAAATTCCGATAAATACCGTTGTCGTTGTGCGTGATTTTTGCGTCAGTCATGGCGTCGCACAGGACGGAAATTTTGACAATTTCTGTTGAAAATATCAACCATTGCAATGTATCTTTTTTTAGTTCCCTAATTCTTCATACGATTCTCGTCCCATGCATATTCTGAAATTGTTGTGCCAATGTATTCAATGAATAGACGAATGGATAGTTCAAAATAGGAGAAAAAGCTACACTGTGTAAAATCTGAATTTTGCTCTGTTTACATTTCTAACAAGTGCAGTTTTTCGAGCACAGCGTTCGTTTTCACACCTAATTTATTTTGATTGATTTCATCTACACACTTTGTATTGGTGACAAGGACCATGTGTCATTTGAATCTACTCTGTATGAGGAATTCAAGGATGTATGTATCGCAGCTGAGTATAAAATTAACATGATGTTACAGGCATCTCATAACCGGTATACGTGAAACGTGATTTTGTAAACACTATCCAATATATATGACGGAAAGTTCACTTCGGCGTTCGTGTTTGCGTATTTTCCAAGACATTCTAAACGATTCTAAGGCTATCGGCGACGTTTTGTAAAGATCATTGAGGATTTGATCAACGACAGATACCGGTGATGCTATGCTATTTTTGAAATTCATTTCGCCGAGTAAATAGCCGAATTTATTATTTCAAAACATGCTGTAAATAACGCCGTGAGTGGTAATTTAGAAATGTGTAAAAAAAATGTCCACATTTACTATGCCCCTCATTTTCAGTAATTTTGCTTGGCCAAAAATGCCAGTGGATGACATGACCAAACAGGGACCCACCGTATTCAAAACTGTGAAGTGTCTCTGTGACTGCTGCAGTTTGAATTTTATTCGACTTCACAGTGAGGGTTGAAGAGGAGGGACAAATATGTCCCTCTATCATCCAAGGGGAAAGCCTGTGTCAGTTTCTCTACTTCATAACATTTTGTAAGCCTTCATTCTGGACAAGGTGTAAATGGACCTCGTTGCCCAAAAATCTATAAAATCTTCGGCCTACCTTTAGAATTCAGTACCGTATTCTAAAGGTGCTCCAAAATATAGAAGTGAATTCTTGTAAATAAATATGTCAACAATGCAGCTCTTTTGACCATTTAGAGGGCAGGATCTAATTGTTTTAGGTATATGTGAATATACAAACGCAAACAAAATCATCGAATTTCAGTTACAATATTTTTAAATATTTACTGTCTTCACTTAGAATTCAACCCATGAACCACTTTTAATCTGCCTTAGCGCTCCAAAAGATTAGCGAGACTGTTGTCAGTTGATTTTGTTTGTCAATTTTCCACTCTATAAAATTGCCCGCCATCAGATTTTGGTTTAACCACAGCAAACGCAAGATTACACGATTTTAACCTGTGTGTCCCTCCCTCCCCTGTACCGGCATTAGCGTAGCCATTTTTGAAAATCACCGGATGTGACGTCAAATAAACACGCTGAGTGTTTTTTTATTTTGGCCTGTACCGGCTCCTAGCTTGGCGCAAGTTGACGACGCGCATAGGGAGCCGGGAACCAGCTTAGGTGGTGACTCAGCATAACACCATAAGCTGGGCCCCGTCTCTAATATCACAATATAGGCTTGGCGCAATTTGACGACGCGCATAGGGAGCCGGGAACCAGCTTACATGACATCACTGCCACAGGCTAATTTGCATATCACGTGACCTAATTTGCATATCACGTGACCGGACTTTTCTCTTGTTCGTAAACAAATGCGCTTTGTGACCCAGGCAATGACTCATTCTCCTACCCAGAGTTCCATGCGGCCGGCAGCCAGCCAGCATACTGTATGCAAAGTCACCACTGCGCCGGAGTGTGGCAATGACTGCACAATGACCGCGACCTCCACTAGACGAACAAACATGGCGGACACGACATGTTTACTATATAATATTTTTTTAATTTGACGTTTACGCGTCCATTGGACGAGAGGTCGGTCATATGACCGCGAAATTGACGTTCAAACGTTTTTCACGAGACCGTGTTCTTGAAATGACGTAAACACTACTTCCACATTCCTTGGGAAACCCCTGGGAATTCCCTAGCACGAGAACATACATAAGCATTATTTCTGATAATTTAGAACCTTTAATCTTGGTCTCAGCATTTCAGTATACATTGAGAAACGTAAGAAAGCTTGACTGCATGATTGTTCACGAATTTCCTCGCTACGGCCCATCCTAATGAACAAACGAAGAAATGCACACCCAAACTATCGTCAGTATCGACTCGATCTGTGTCTAGGGTGACAGTGACCGTCTCCAGCAATCTACGAATTTACCTTGGTGTCTGTTTGACGCATCTTTAATCACCTTTCAATAATCGGTCAGTTGATCAATGATGACTAACACATGTAACCGCCACAGGTTCATTAACAACTTCGGAAATCCTCCCGTCACGTTAATCGTGTCGGCCATTTTGACGTCTTGTACTTGTAAATGTACGACGCGCTGTCATTGTGACCGACTTACTGAGGTAGTTCTTTACAGACCTTTCTCATCTAATGGTGATATTATTTGAACACATGTGTTGCGTAAAATGTTACTGAAGAGCAGGTTGTGCATCCATACGCTCATGTCACCTCTCTTTTGGGGGAACTTTTTGATTCCGCGATATAGCTGGTTGTTGTTTGGCTGTCAGTGTAAACATGAAGTCACACGTACTAAAAAAATTGTGTTTAGATCTTGGCCTACATACTTTGAGGTAAGAAATTGTGATAAAAAATTATAAGAATTGACTTTCACTTTGTGTGAGTTCATTGGAGTATGAACCTTCATAGAGTGAGGGCCAAACAATGTATGAACGACGTCGCAAGCTCCGACGTTCATACAGTTTGGCCCTCACTCTATGAAGGTTCATACTCCAATGAACTCACACAAAGTGAAGGTCAATTCTTAAGAAAAACGGCC